AAAAAAAAAAAAAAAAAATTTTATTGTAGAGATGAGGTCTCGCCAAGTTCCCTGGGTTGGTCTCAAACCCGCAGGCTTAGACAATCTACTCGCCTCGACCTCCCAAAGTTCTGGAATTACAGGCTGAGCCACCAAGCTTGGCCTGTTTCCAAAATTTAAGAAGATGAACTGGTATTAGAGTTTCACCAAAGAAGGGAACTGACAATACTATCTGGCTAATTAAACCAACACTAAGCCAATTTGCCCTTTATAAATAACCATAGTTTTTCTCAGGGCCCGTATAACATTACATATTTTAGATTGTTTATATCTACCTATTTGTCTTCTGTCTATTACTAAACTGTAATCATCTGAAGAATATGAATTGCATTTTACTTTCCAACTTTCACAGTCGAGCAGGAAGATATAAATTACCAAAACTGATTCAAGAAGAAATGTGAAACTCAAAACAATCAATTATCATTAAAGAAATCAAAGTGGTAATGAAAAACAATCTACCCCTGTAAAAGACACCAGACTCAAATGTTTTATAGAAACAGCCTGTTCCTATCAAATGGTTCCATAGATTAGAAAAATAGGTATGGTTACCCAACCTATTTTATGAGGCTAGAATATCCTTGATACTAAAGCCAAATAATGAAAAAGAAGAGAAAATTATGGAGCAATCTCATTTATGAACACAATTACAAAAATCCTTTAACTGTTAACTAATTCTATAGTACATATGAAAATTCACTGAGAACAAGTAGATTTTATCCCAGGAATGCTAGGATAATTCAACACCAGGAACATCTGTCAATAACACCATATTTACCAAATTGAAGGGGAAAATTGTATGAACTTTTCAACAGATATAATAGATGCAGAAAGAACATTCAATAAAATTCAACACTCATGACTTTCTCTAAAAATTAGCAAACTGGGCCAAGCATGGTAGTTTATGCCTGTAACCCCAGCACTTTGGGAGGCTTGAGCCCTGGAGTTCAAGACCAGCCTGGGCAATATAGCAAGACCTCGTCTCTACAAAAAAATAAAAGAATTAACTGGGCTTGGTGGTGCATGCCTGTAGTCCCAGCTTCTTGGGAGGCTGAGGCTGAGTCCACAAGGTCAAGTCTGCAGTGAGCCATGATCATGCCACTGCACTCTAGCCTGGGCAACAGAGTAAGATCCTGACTCAACAACAACAAAAAAAGTTTGCAAACTAGTAACAGAAGATAACTTTCTTAACAACAGCAATAAAAAGTTTCTGAAAAAACCTACAGCAAACTTCATACTTACTGATAAAAATGTTAGAATGCATTTCCATAAAAGACAGGAACTATGTTTTTCATCATTACAAACTTCAGGCTGAGCATGAATGGTATGTCTCAAAACCAAAAGGAAGACTCTATCTAAAGGCCCAAATGTCAGTTTACCCCAAAAGGATGTAAAACATATCTGGCCTTCCCCAAGTGTGTGTGATTCATGGAAAAATTTTTGTGATGGAAGTGTTTATTATATAATATTAAGGAAAAATAGGACACAGAGTCACTCCTATGTTCTGATTATAGATGTGTTAACTTATTTCTTAAAAATATGCAGATGACTGCAAACATGAAAAAATGGAAAAGGTGAAAATTTGTGGAAACTGTGGTTACAATTTTATTTTTCCTTGTTATTTTATGATCAATACAACAGAATGTTTTAAAAGTAAGTCCACGACAAAGTATTTTTAGGTGTTTTTGTTTATATCTTAAACACAACAGATTATAGCAATCTTGTAAATGAAACATTTTATTTGGTATTATTTCTAATTGCCATAAAGTGACTTGGGAAATGGGAGTATGAAGAAAAGAGTAGTAGGAAAAGAAGGGTAGATATAATGTATCATTTACTCTGATAATAACCAGGAGAAACGATTACCTCTTCTAGCTTGCTGAATTCTTTACACAATTCTTCTTTGAGGCCAGAGCAATCTTCCTTATCTCGCCGTCTAAGATAGCTTGCTACCAAAGAGGGTACCTAGACAGAGAATAATTTCTTAGTTTATCAGTTTGAGGCTAACTACATTAGCCCCCTCACATAAAAAAAATGATAGAACCTTCATAGTTCTGGCATCAGGGTGTTCTATATACATCAAGGGTAGACCAAGTCCCCATGTACACAGAGGTCATAGACTGATTAGAAAAAGTTTGTGGCCTAAGATTCTGGGTTGGTCAGAATTTTATAAATTGCAAATGATAGAACCCATTTGGCATGTTTAAGTCAAAAATTTCTTAAAAGGAATCTGAAAAGCAAGTAGATCTCATTACCTTTGGAGGGTTGTGACTATGACCCTCAAAGTAAATTTGGAGGTTCTACATCGCTTTTGGAAACAAAAAAGGTGACTGAGTGGCTCATAGAATGGTTGGGAGGCTGAACAAATAGGCTTAGAACAGGATTCCAAAATCATGATGAGAAGTGGCCTAATGGGAGGCACCCACTGCTGCCAGTGCTAGCTGAGCACTAGATGCTACAGTCTGTGCTATAGTTTGTGGAGTCTGAGGTAGCTACTAATGCCACTGGCACAATGCCACTTCTACTCTGGAGCTTTATCTTGTAACCATCACTGCTGAAAGCCAGAGGCTCTGCTGCCATTCTTACCAGCGGAAGCAGTGGCCCACATCAAGCCTGTTTCCTCATCTTGATCATTTCTGAATTGAATGCTACTGTGTGTGTATCTGATAGGACAAACCTGGGTCACCAGTTTTGGCTGCAGCTGCAAAGAGAACTAGAGAAGAGAACTTTTCTGATTTCTACCTTGAAGCCATCAGAAGACTGTTCCAATGAGACTGACTACTTGAACACCTGGCAGGTGTAGCATCAACTGCCTTAATACTTATGGTGGTGTTTGTGTGTTTTAATACTTCAGTCTTTGGTATCATTTTATGCAAGGCACTGAAGTACACTCATCCCAGTTTAAGTAAAGAGGCACTTGTAAATCTTATGAAATTCCAGCCACAGTACAGCTTGCCTTCATTGGGCCCTCTATCCACATTTCCATCTGGGCCTGCTTGCTTTTTCATCTGTTTTTCCTTAAATATCTGCCCCAAATTACTTTCCATAAATCAGGTTTTTTTGTAATTCTTTTAATTTCTGCTTTCTTAAAGATTTATTTTTCACGCAGCTTTGGTTTTTGAAGTCCTAAATGATATACTTGAGCTCCAAACCTTAATTGACTTTATTGTATAAGTCTTACCCTTTACTGTCTTAGTTTTGTGTCTTATTTCTAAGTTCTCAGGAAAGAAGTTGACTGGCCCGGGTGAGGAGGTGGGTACATGTCTGGTCTACTGCCCTGTAGCCAGGAGAGCAGGGACATATGATACATAAGGCCACCTCTTTCTTAAAAGTAAGCAGGAAAATAATGGTGGGCACTTCCAGCTTGACTTTTTTTTTTTTTTTTTTTGAGTTGGAGTCTCACTCTGTCGCCCAGACTAGAGTGCAGTGGCCGCTCCCGGCCACTGCAACCC